TATCTGATTAGATGTCAACGGATCCCCAAGCGTCCTGGATCTGATTGGCATGACCTTCCAGATGAAAAGGTATTATCAGCATAACCAAATAGGGTTCTTGAGCCATAATTTTGGATTTAAACTAATAGTTCTTTGTGGGGTTGTTTGAAGGTGAAACTGTAAACTGGAGAAATGGTTGATTTAATTTGTATTGTTAACCAAACAAGCCCTACAAGTTGGTTTTGCAAAAGCTAATCTGAATTGTTTTTTGAATGTAACTTTAACTTTTGAATGTGCTCTAATGTCATTCATTCTTAAAGCTATGTTGAGTTACATCCCAAACAAATTTCACTTATCGCCCTTCTATCTATCAAAAACTTCAAGAATGTGTCCAAACACTAATTGTATTAAAATATATTTTTGTTCAACTGGTATTGAAAAATGAAATTCCAATAAACTAACTTTTCCCCAACTGAAATCCAAAATGCATTCTTTGTTCAGTTTGATTCTTGGTAAAGTTTGTCGACCAATGTGCTGAGTTTTGTTTACTGAATTGCTGTAATTATAATTGCAGGGTTTCCCAGATACCTATCAGTTTGCTGGTAACATTTTGCACAAGCACAGACAATTTTCTGCTCATGCCATTATCAAGTCTAACATCAGGCCAACAAAAAATCCACTCTGCTAAACTGGCTCTTCATTTTCAAAACTCCTCTCTGCACACAAGCACTATAAAACTTGGTTGTTATGGAATGACTTTTGTGATACCCACATTATCTCTGGTTTGAATCAATATGTGAACATCTTTTTCAAAAATAAATAAAACCACACATTTCCATCGTCTATGCTAGCAATGACAGGATGACTAGAAGATATCTCTGGACTAACCTGGCTGATTTTAGCTTGAAATTTCAATGTCATCTCTAATTTGCAGGAGTGTAAAGGCAATTGTATCCCTTCAAGGTATGACATTCTGGATTTTAGTGAATTAATTAATAATAAATACATTATAGAGGTTGAGTTCCAAGCACACCTGGATTGGTAAAAGAAAAAATGGTCTTGTTTTAAACAAACTTGATAGAATCTTAGTATTCCCTTTGATAATCTGAATCTCACTTTATCTAAGATTGGCCTTAGGACTTCGAAATTTCAACATATATGGAATAAACACTCATTTTTTTGACGTCCTGGGGATCAGCCTTGTGATGCTTTTGGGATGGGAAAATTCTCTTTTAAACTTAGAAGGTTCAAAATTGTTTGAAATTTTGGAACAAAACCATTTTTGGAAACACTTTCAGCAACCTTGGTGAAACTGAGATTGAAAGGGGGACTGGTCTGAAGCATTTCCAAAGACCGAGTTGGAAAATGGTTGTTTTCAAAGGCTTGGCGGGAATGTAAAAAAATTTGAAAGACTCGTGCTTGCAGAACAGTATGATCTTGTAGATGGAAATCTATGAGCTACCAGATTTAGAAGGAAATTTGTAAGCTTACATATTTCCTTTGCTCAGCCCAGGTTAGGATTTCGTCGTCTCAGAGGCCCATATATGTTATTGTGCATCATAATTTTAATTTTTCTAATAGTCATTTTTGTATCTGTGCTTGACAGATCAATAGTCCATATGAACTCCTATCATCATCCTCTTATGGTTCAATTCCTTTTTTAGTATATGTGCTTTACTGAAAACTCACATGCCTATTTTTCCCAAAATGTGTTGTGGACGAGTTTATAGTCACAGTGCACAGCTGAAACTAACAGTGATTATACAGTCACTCTTATGCTTATTTTCCCAAAATGTGTTGTGGACGAGTTTATAGTCACTGTCGTAGAGGGTTCAATTCTGCATTATACGTCGAGTCTTGTCATTTCTTGGTTTTGCTTACTCCCTTATGGACTATCAAGATTTTGTTACCATTGGGCATCAACCTCGCGCAACGCGCGTGCCCGTGCTAGTATGTATATATGAACCTTAAGTCATTTCTTATTTTTAAAACATAGGCAATTGTAAATATTAGAATAAAGCATACGTAATTCGTAAAGTTCCAAATTAAATGTTTATGTGTGTGTAGTTTTGAATGTATCTTATTATCAATATAAATTGTTAGATAATAATCAATCTTATTAAAATGTCAAATAGTATTATATATCTAGCTAGGTAATTCCGAAAATCATTTATTATTATTTTAAAATATAAATTGCTGAGTAGTAAATATGGCGAGTATAACACTCAGATTTCTTAATCTACTTTTATACATATAACTTTGATGCGCTTTTACTTAAACAAGTAACGATTTATTATTCAACTGTATATATACGAATTACGTACTAATGATATATATATAATGTCCGTAATGTTCAATCTGTGTAGTTTGAAAAGTTTGCTTATTACATGTGTATAAAATTTCAAGTTTAAAATATTTATCACGTTAATTCATTTACCCAAAAAAATGGGATGGAATCTTAATTAATTAAAAAGTATTATGGTTACATACATACATATATATATATATATATATATATATACATACACACACACACACATATATATATAGTATGCTGGAATCTTAATATAAAAGTAAATAAAATACTTCTAGAGCTAGTATAATTTCCTTTTCTACAACCACATAATATTCAGGCCTTCATTTTGCTTTCAATTAACCTAGCTACTAACCGTTCCTTGATCATTTAACATATGTGATTCTAGCTTCTAGTGTCAACTAAATTATACGGAGTACTAGCTAGGTAATAACTAAAAAAACATCAACATTGAAATTAAATATTATAATCGAACGGCACACCAAAACGTAAATGATACGATTTAGTAAATGAATAAATGTAATCATTTAACAATATAATCTAATCGCATGAGTAGTAATTTAGTGATTATATTTCGTTGCTTCTTCTGTATTCTCCTTGGAGTTGTTCAAATTTGCAAACCACGCAGCACCAAGGATTTGTCTATTTTATTAATTGGATCTATCTCATTTGTATACTCTCTTTTATTTACTTAAGAAAATGATCACATTTAACTACACACGCCCATTTACTATATCTACTTGTTTAAGGCTATTTTATTTTTTTAAAATTAATTCGTTGGTTTTCAATTGCTATTATTATAATTAAATATACGTTTACACTTATTGTATAATATGAAAAACTGAGGTCATTACAATATCCATATCATGTATCGTCATATATTGAGAATAATAACTAACAAGTCACACATTGGAAAACTTATGTAGTTTTAGTCATTGGAGAGATAATTTTCTCTATATAAAATGTAAGCTGTGTGTGTCAAATATGTAAGTTTAGTGTATTTAATTTCTATGTAACTTTTTATAAAACACAATGAATTCGAATGGATTTCAAATATATACTAATTAATGAGACGCTTGCAGCGAAAGAATAAGGTAGAGCTTAAAAAAGTTGCAAGCTTTTAAATACAAACAATTTTTTCATTTAAATTGATAAAACTTTGGTTTTGAATTGATGATATATAGAGAAAAAAATTAAAAATTAAAAAGAAATACAGAAGAAAAAATGGTTGTTTTGTGAGCTAGGAAAGGAGGACATGGAATGCAGGATCATACTAAGTGCAAAGTTGATACCCAATTACCAGACATTTAAAACTCGGTATGTAATGAGAAATGTAGCTGTATTGACCGAAATACCTTAATAAGATAAGATGGTGGCAATAATCCAAGATTCCAATCATATGATGTTGTGACATATGTAGTGTTGTCTACTACCAAGGGTGTATGCTAAAGTGCTATTAGTCGTAGTAACATGAAATGTCAAATGTTTATCAGTACATCATTACAAGAACTATTAGTTTGTATTAGGTGTGTCTGTTAAATTCAATTTCTTATTCATTTTTTTTTTACTCCAAGGGCATATTGAGGAGGAGTTGGAGTAGTCAGGGCTGAAATTCACTGCATTGATTTTTGAATTTGAGACCTCTCATAAGAAAGAGTGAATCGACGACCAGCTGGGTTGGACCGCTTCCTCTTCAATTTCATATTCATTTATACAAGAATTCGATACAATTTGAACTAATTATATGTCTAGTGGTAGAGTCATAGAAGTTCCCTAAGGGGTCTCGGCTTTTATTTTTCTTCCGGGAGAACTATCAAATAAGCCCCCTCGAACTTTCATAAAAAGTGCATATAAGCCCATTTGGTGCGGTTTCCGATGGACTTTTTTGATGAAATTTTTTGAGCATCTTCTTCATTAAGTCTAGTTTACTCATACCAAATTTCAGCTAAACATTCAACCGGGAAGACAGTCAAATGAATTTTTAAAGATAACTGTGCAGTTAGGCAACGCAGTATATTTCAGAAAATCATTCGACTGCCTTCTCGATTGAGTTTTTAGCTGAAATTTGATACGAATAAACTAGACTTAATGAAGAAGATGCTCAAAAAATTTCATCAAACAATTCCACCGGAAACCACCCCAAATGGCTACAGCCGGACAAAGCCTCCTGTAAAAGGGCTTATTTGCATTTTTTATGAAAGTTCGAGGGCTTATTTGATAGTTCTACCTTTTCCTTCCTAAAAGGTACATATAAAACTATATACATAAATTATAAAAGTAGTTGAAATATTAAACTACGAGCTTTCAAAATATTTTTTTAACTCTAGCTTCCCTTAGAAAATATATTTGGATCCGCTTTTACATCTAAGTTTGAGTATCTTCAATGCAAAAACGTGAAATATATAACATGAGAGAGGTAGATACATAAAAATTAATAAATAGAATATATATATCTCCTTATTTAACGGTCTTATATGTTTTGGTGAGTTTCCTTCACAATATCGAGTATAGTGTCTCAACTCTGGATGTAGATATTGTGTTTAATATTATTAAGGGAAAAGGTGCAAATAGGTCCATGTACTAACCAAAAAAGGTCAAATAAGCCCTCATTTAGGAGGCTCTGTCCGATCATTGTCATTTAGGGTGGTTCCTAGTAGAATTTTTTGATGAATTTTTTTGAGAATCTTATTCATCAAGTCTAGTTTACTCATACCAAATTTCAACTAAAAATTCAATCGGGAACCACCCCAAATGATGACGGCCGGACAGAGCCTCCTAAATAAGGGCTTGTTTGACTTTTTTTGGTTAGAACATGGGCCTATTTGCACCTTTTCCCTATTATTAATAAAAAGAAAGAATGGCATGGATATTAGCTACACACTTTTAATGGACCAAAATATGAGTGGTTTTAGAATTTCCAAAATTGTGATTTAGAATTCAACGCAACTCCTTCGTCTCCCTCTCAGGCTCAGCCTCCAAACTCATCCGCAGCGTAGTCTATTCTTCGAAGAATTCGTCATCGCAGGCAACCGAAACATCTCCGCCGCCATCACCAAGCGCCTCTCCAGACCTCGCCATCTCCAGACAGGCGGCAGTAAATGTAATGGGTGGGACGGTAGCCAAAGTGACACGGGCGGTAGCTAAAATGACACGGGCGGTGGCTACAGTGATACGGGTGGTGGCTACAGTGACACGGGCGGTGGTTGTAGTGACACGGGCGGTGGTTGTAGTGACACGGGCGGTGGCTACAGTGACACGGGCGGTGGTTGTAGTGACACGGGCGGTGGCTACAGTGACACAGACGGTGATTGTAATGACATGAGTGATGGTTGTAGTTACAAAAAAACGAACACGCAGTGACATAAAATTTTTGCAGTTACATCATGTTTTCTAATTGCACTTATATGATCTTCTTGATCACTTTTTTGCCCCATTTTAAAAGTGGTCACTTTTTGGGTAATTGATTCAAAATTAGTAATATCTAAGTAAAAACCCCTAATAAAAACTTACCAAACACATAAGACAATGAAAAAGAAAAGAGGGAGATCTCATGATTTTTTTCTTTTGTATCTTTCTCTCATGCCCACATATACATTGTTCTAGGGGTGTTCGTCGGTTCGGTTTGGTCGGTTTTCGGTTTGGTCGGTTCGGTTTGGTCGGTTTCGGTTTTAGGAAAGGTGAAACCGAAAACCGAACCGTAGTACTTGAGTCGGTTTCGGTTCGGTTTCGGTTCGGTTATTTTCGGTCGGTTTGGTCGGTTTCGGTCGGTTTTAGCACATTTTTTGTCGGTTTTTGTCGGTCGGTTTTTAATCCAAAAGGTGAAATCGTAAACCGAACCGTCAATGAATAGTCGGTTTGAGTCGGTGTCGGTTTGAGTCGGTTTCGGTTTTGATCGGTTCGGTTTCGGTCGGTTTGTCGGCCGGTTTCGGTTTTTCGGTTTTTTTGTTCACCCCTACATTGTTCTATTCATCCAGACTGTCACTTAGAAATACGGAAATTACTCCAAATAGGAGTAAAATTATGACAAAAATTCAAAACAGGACTTGTTATCTTTTTATTCCAAAATATGACCATATTACTCTTATTGGAAACATACCTATTTTTTCATTCCATTCTTACTCCTCCTTTAAATATGAGTAAAAGATAGTCAAAAATCATAATTAAATGTTTAATTCATAATAAATTCGAAAAATTTTAAAAAAATCGTAGACAAATAATAAAAAATAATAAAATATTTATAAAATATAAAATTAATTTTGTTTACATTTTTTAAAATTAATGAAAACTATTAAAACTCCATAAAACACTTTAAAAAATATGGATGTCTTTCCCACCGCCGGTACTGCCTCCATGCATCACCACCTCCGACCAGTGTAAAAGTGTCATTTTTTCTGAAAGTGCCAAAAAAGGGAATATTACTCTTTGAGAATGCCAAAATTTTCATTGAACCTGCCATAAATATGACATTCCTAATGCATGTGGCATTTTTCCCCCGGTGACCGGAGAGGGTGGTGCTGGGGCGGCAGAGGCAGATGTGATTTTTTTATAGCATTTTTTTTAAATAATTTTTTTAATTTTTAAATTTTTTAAATTAGATGCTCTTTCCCACCGTTTATACTACCTTCCTGCACCACCACCTCCGACCAGTGTAAACTATGCAATTTTTTCTAAAAACTGCCATTTTGTTTCCTGAAAATGCCAAAACAAATGACTTATTGACTTTTTGAGAATGTCAAAATTTTCATTAAACCGCCATAAATATGACATTCATAATGGATGTGTCATTTTTCCCCTGGTGACTGGAGGTGGTGGTGCTGGGGCGGTAGAGGCGGCGCTAATTTTTTTTTTTCAATTTTATTTTTTTAATTTTTCTAAAATTAATTATTATTTAAATATTTTCATTAATTTTTTACGAATTATTATTATTTTCTATTATTTTATTATGAATTAAAACATTTCAATAGCAACAAGATATACTCTCTCCGTCCCGAAAAGGTTGGCCGAATTTCCTTTTTTGGATGTCCCAAAAAAATTTGTCATTTCCATTTAAAGTAAGAAATATGTGGCTAAAATTAATTCTCTATCCTCTGCACAAATTTTAACCACACAATTTTTACTTTATTAATCCACGTGAAAGTCAACTTTGGTCAACCTTTTCGGGACGGAGGGAGTATTTGTTCAACACAGATAATTAGTCTTATCAAAACATAATTTACTTTTTGGTCCTAATTAAGCAAAGTGAACAGCTTTTAGTCCCTTATACACTATTTATGCGCTTTCAAAAAAAATACACTATTTATGCGTATTTAGGATGTTTTTACTTGGACTGTAATTCGTCCCAGACCAGACCAGACCAGTTTAGACCAGACCAGACTTGGATAGTTATACAAAGAAACCAGACCAGACCAGACCAGGCCAGACCAGACCAGTTCAGACTAGACCAGACCAGACCAGACCAGATCAGATCAGACCAGACCAGCAATTTACAATACAAATTAAAAACATCCTTACATCAATCTTCTATAACGGTATCTACATAGAAATACATCATGAGTTAGAGAAAAGGACAACCTCAATTACACCAATCACTTTTAAACTAGAAGTTACACAAAATTTGTATAGATCGATTTCCATTGTTCATGTTGCACAGGACTACCATATGCACGAAGCGTTAACCCCAAGATAAAACAACTGGTCTTTTAGTATGTTTTTATTTAATTTACAAAAAATTAGTATGATCTCATATATTCCGTACTATATAAGTTTGGTTTAATTTGTTTTGTTTTTTTGAAAGCACCAAATTTTATTAACTCAAATTATTTTCTAACAGACCATGAATACAACTCCGTATGAAATTCGTTCAAAAAGTTCTCTCTTCTCTCTAGAGAGAGGAACCCTATCGGCCGTCTTCTCTCTTTGTACGGGTTTAGATTTTCACTAATGGGGTATTGCAACTGTCCCTATCAATATGGGGTCGGAGCGTCACATTATACTGATTTTAAATGTTCTAACGCTTGGTATTGCAACTACGTCGGAGGAGATAGCGTTGGCGGGTGAACGAGATGCGGCTGGGAGGTTGTACCCAGGCTGGATCGTGAAGCCTTGGTCGGTCATTCCGACGGTGGTGGAGTTGATTTTCACTCATATTGCAGGAGCTCGTCCTCCTCCGGAACCACCTTCACTTACACCCGGAAGAGCTTTGTGGAAAGATTTTATTTTAATATTATTTTCTCTTTAGTAGCAATTGTTTTTGTTCTAGTCCGAGTAGATTTGGTTTGAATGTTTGGATTTTTGGAGTTCTTTTGATAGGCAGGGTTTCGGTTTCGATCGTTTTAGGTCTAAATTTGCACATTTCAGGTTTAGCGAGTCATGTTGCTTTGTATGAGGTGGCTGACTCTAAGTCATCTACTCCTACGGTTCACGATTGGATCTGTAAATTTTGTCTGAAGATTGTCTTGTATGTTTTCTCGATTTTAATATAACGGCCGCTTTTTTACGATAAAAAAACAGATCACGAATTCAATCAGGTGGAAAAGAATGTCAAATACAATCAGACTGAGATAGAGCTCTTTGTGCCAAAGCATGAGCAACCCTCGATGATCGTCGCACAAACTGGACAAAAATTTCGGCAAAAAACTCCATTATATGTTTAATATCTTCGAACAAAGCTAAAATGTAGGAACACCCTCCTGGGATTCAGAATGTCGTTGACCACTTGTTGCGAGTCGGACTCAATGATGATCTTCGTCCACCCACAGTCCACCGCCCAAATCGGAGCCTCCTAGATTGCTAGAGCTTTTGTGATATTTAACGGAATAGCTCCTATCCATCTTCGTCTCTTCCCTCCTATAAATCTGCCACGATCATCTTGAGCCACCATACCCAGCCCTCGTTCCATGCCACACACCTGCACCGCCCCGTCCACATTAATTTTCACAAACCCCGACTCCGGACATGCCCAATGTTCCTCCTTAGTCTGTTGTTTTTCCCCAGCCCTACTATTTATCGCATCACGCCACCCTTGCAGCACTATCTCGCTACAAACCAATATGCCCTTCCAATGCGTACTATGCTTTTGCCAAACTTTATCATTTCGAGCTTTCTGAATATGCCAACGTCACATCACAAATTCACAGGCCTCCCCTGCCGTGCACTGAGAAAAAACGCCATTCACCCGGTCGAGTACGGATGTCACACTAGTGTTACACATCTTCTAATTATGCCATACATGCTTCTCCAAGATGCAATCACGTAGTGTATGGAGCGAAGTCTCTAGAGCGTTGCCACACGTTAGACGCGATGGGCTAACATGTATAAGTCGCTGAAGCAAGCAGTCTTTAGTCAGTAAACAACATGCACAAGCCTTCCAGGAAAAGACCTTGAGCTTCGAGGATATACGTAGTTTCCAAACACTAGTCCATCTCGGTGGAGGGATCAGCCCAACCCTTCGCGTAAGAGCCTTGCAGAAGCTCTGAACAGAAAAAACTGGTTTCTCAAAATTAGCCAAACGGCATTTCAGCCGTTACACTCTAGCCGATTCTTACCATATTTCTTGTATATTGTATTTGGTTCAATTAGTGGCTAGATTCATTTAGGTAATTATGGATAGTATATTCTTTGCATTATGTTAGCCTTTTTCCATGCATTTCCGGCCGTTTGGTTTAGGAGAATACTCCATGTATTATTGTATTTATAGTAGATTATTTCTCAATGAAAGCAGGGATTTCACATTCCAATTTGGTATCAGCAGCTCTCTTCTTCCGGTCATGGCTTCCTCCTCCAAATTTCACTCCGCCTTGGCCGTCTCCAATATTAAAAACTTCATCCCCATAACCCTCGATCTTGAAACCGTGGAATATTCTTCATGGGCGGAACTCTTCCGTATTACCACCCGGGCCTATCAAGTCCTCGACCACCTACTACCCGCCACTCTTGCGACCGACTCCCCTTCTCACGCCGCTACTACACTCGAACAACGGCTGGAACTTGAAGCTGCTGCCGCCGAAGCTAAGGCCCTTTGGGACCGCCTTGATGTAGTCGTCCTACAATGGATCTACGGCACAATTTCTCACGACCTCCTCCACACCATCATCGAGCCCGACGCCACGGCTCACATGGCTTGGTCACACCTTGCGGACATCTTCCAGGACAACAAACACTCTAGGGCGGTGTACTTGGAAAATCAGTTTTCCAATACCCGTCTTGATCAATTCCCCAACATTGCCTCCTACTGCAGTGCCCTCAAGCTCCTGGCCGACCAACTAAGCAACGTCGGCGCTCCAGTCACCAATAGTCGCCTTGTCCTTCGCCTTGTTAACGGACTTCCGGAACATTTTGACACTGTGGCTTCCCTCA